ATTCCACGTCGCATATATCAAAATTTCTTGTTGTGATAAATTAAATGAAAAATTGTTCATTCTGCAACATAGATATTTCCCTCATTCTTCCAATCCTTTCATTTTTTGGATCTCGGGGGCCCAAAGACTGGCACAGAAAAATTGTACCACAGAAAATTCCCCGATTCCACGTCGCATATATCAAAATTTTTTGTTGTGATAAATTAAATCAAAAATTGTCCATTTCGCAACAGAGATATTCATATTTGTTCTCCCTCTTCCAATGCTTTCATTTTTTGGATCCCGGGGGCCCAAAGACAGGCATAGAAAAACTGTGCCACAGAAAATTCCTCAATTCCACGTCGCATATATCAAAATTTTTTGTTATGATAAATTAAATGAAAAATTGTTCATTTTGCAACGTAGATACTCATATTTCCCCCACTCTTCCAATCCATTCATTTTTTGGATCCCGGGGGCCCAAAGACGGGCATAGAAAAATTGTACCACAGAAAATTCCCCGATTCCACGTCGCATACGTCAAGATTTTTTGTTGTGATAAATTAAATCAAAAATTGTCCATTTCGCAACAGAGATATTCATATTTGTTCCCCTTCTTCCAATTCTTTCATTTTTTGGATCCCCGGGGGGTCCAGAGACCGGCATAGAAATATCGTGGCACAGAAAAATTCCCCGATTCCACTTTGCATATGTCAAGAATTCCTTCATTCGTGGAACGCTGCTCATCGGAATGACGAAAAATCCCCGAACCTTTCACCCGGCCCGACAGTGCCTCGCGCTCATTGTCAACGAAGCACTCGACCCGAAATTCCGTCCCATCGACTCTCGATCCTCCTCGAGTACGCGTACTCCGTCACGTACAATCCCAGGTACACTCGCGACGCGATCGGCGTGCGATTCGCGTCACGGAGTTTCGCGTCGGCGTGGCCTCAGCTCGAGATAGCTCCCTGGCCGCTTCACGGCCAGCGGTCGCTCGTACGAGCGGGGTCACGCTGTTCCGCGAGATCTGAATGAGAAAATCGTCGCTGAATTGAACATGATCGACGATCTTATCTCGTTCCAGTGGCCCGTGACAACGCGATCGAGGGATCCTCAGCAACGCTCGATGAGGGTGGCTGCTCCCCGATTTCTCGGAATATTTCACCGATTGCTCGTTTTTTCGGCCCGAGAGTGGCCGCCGATGCTTGAATCCGCATGTGCGGAAATCGTCACGTTGCATGGAAAGTTTCGCCGGCGCACTCTTTCTGGTCTATCTTCCGCGCGAGTAAAGTATAGAACAGCACGCGCTTGCGCCTTGCTCGCGCGAGTCGCCGATGGAATCGAACTGTGGAATTGCACCGGGGATTTTTATGTATTTCGGGCAGTGAAAGAGGGGTATCTCGTGGAGTGCACAGAGACTAGCCTTCCCACGCGAACTCTGGAAAAGTATGAAACGAATTGGAAACGCCAGGCTATAATTACGAGGCTAAGAATAGCCATGCTGACTTTCCTCGTGCATACTTCGTAACAACAGATCCACGTATCTCTGTGCGATATATATAACGAGCGAGAATCCGTCGAACGTGTACTAGCCTACTGCCCTAATCGCAACACGCTATTGCAGACCTTTCACGAGCACTTCGGCAAAGAAGTTCGTGCAAAAGAGTCCTAACCTTCCCGAAAGATATCCAATTTTATATCACCTGATATTACCGTGCAATACCGTCTACCATCGACCACTATGTGACCTAAACCATGCAATCGATACTAAACTTTCGAAACTTTTATTAAAAATTCCACATTAATCAATAACATCGCGTTATTGATCACTCGTCCGCCATTTTTCTTCCAATATATAATATATAATTTTGTCAAGATTGCTATCCTTCTGTACTCATCGGTCATTTAACTATACCAGGTTTAGAGTTGAAAAGAGAAAAGAGAAATGGAAGAGAGGGGGAGGAGTTACGAGGCAAAGTGAAAGTAGAGGATCTGAATCACCTGGGGATTCCTCCGGTTCGGTAATTCCCCGTGTACAGACTAACGGGGCCGAGTGACGAAACTTGACAGCGTTTAGGCTAAAGGTAACTACGACCTAGCGAGGTTAGCTAATTGTTCCAGGAACGAGACACCGAAATATTTCGATCGTCACTGCGCAACGACGAGTTAAATTCCAACGAGGTTTTTAATTGATTAATCGAAGGTACTCGGTTGCAGCAATACTCGAATAGATACGCCCCGTTACAAGTGCAGCCACTTCGGAAACAGTGTCGAGGCTCGAACCACCGTTGGAAACGCGCGTGCAGCATTTTCTGCGATCACGTAAGCAACTTGCTATATCAGAATGTGTCGCGATGATAAAAGCTCTCTGGTCGCACTTGAAAACGGAAAATTTCTCGACAAAACGACAATCGAAGGCTATGTTTCTCGGAACAAATTTCTCCTATTTATAGCACTCGTAATGTTGCATTTCGTTTCTATAATGCACGTGCAGTTACTTCTACTCCGGTTATTATCTCGTATTCGTTACGCTCGAGTGCGAAGGGATAATATCGGCACGACCATTTCGATGTGTAATAAATAATTCCAATTATGGATGATTTACGGCAAAAATCCGACACACCCAAATGATCTAACGTTATGATAACAGTGCAGCTTGTCTAGGTTCAGGTATAGTCCATTCAGAGAGTACCTTCGTGATAATAAAATAATATCGGTGCGATCATTTTGGTGTACAATAAATAATTCCAATTGTTAATAATTTACTGCAAAAATTTGACTAAAGAACATCCAAATGATCTAATCTTGTGATAACAGTATAGCTTGTCTAGGCTCAGGTATAGTCCATTCAGAGAGTACCTTCGTGACAATAAAATAATATCGGTACGACCATTTTGCTAGATAATAAATAATTTCAATTATGAATAATTTACTGCAAAAATTTGCCAAAAGCATACCTAAATAATTTAACGTTGTAATAATAATATAGCTTGTCTGGGCTCAGGTATAGTCCATTCAGAGAGTACCTTCGTGATAATAAAATAATATCGGTGCGACCATTTTGGTGTACAATAAATAATTCCAATTGTCAATAATTTACTGCAAAAATTTGACTAAAGAACATCCAAATGATCTAATCTTGTGATAACAGTATAGCTTGTCTAGGCTCAGGTATAGTCCATTCAGAGAGTACCTTCGTGATAATAAAATAATATCGGTGCGACCATTTTGGTGTACAATAAATAATTCCAATTGTGAATAATTTACTGCAAAAATTTGACGAAAGCATACCCAAATAATTTAACTTTGTAATAATAGTATAGCTTGTCTAGGCTCAGGTATAGTCCATTGAGAGAGTACCTTCGTGATGATAAAATAATATTAACATAACCATTTTGGTGTATAATAAATAATTCCAATTGTGAATAATTTACTGCAAAAATTTGACAAAAGCACACGCAAATGATCTAATCTTATGACAACAGTATAGCTTGTCTAGGCGCAGGTATAGTCCATTGAGAGAGTATCTTCGTGACAATAAAATAATATCGGTACGACCATTTTGCTAGATAATAAATAATTTCAATTGTGAATAATTTACTGCAGAAATTTGCCAAAAGCATACCCAAATAATTTAATGTTGTAATAATAATATAGCTTGTCTAGGCTCAGGTATAGTCCATTGAGAGAGTACCTTCGTGATGATAAAATAATATTAACATAACCATTTTGGTGTATAATAAATAATTCCAATTGTGAATAATTTACTGCAAAAATTTGACAAAAGCACACGCAAATGATCTAATCTTATGACAACAGTATAGCTTGTCTAGGCTCAGTTATAGTCCATTGAGAGAGTACCTTCGTGATGATAAAATAATATTAACATCACCATTTTGGTGTATAATAAATAATTCCAATTGTGAATAATTTAGTGCAAAAATTTGACCAAACCACACTCCAATTGATCTAACGTCATGATAACAGTATAGCTTGTCTAGGCTCAGGTATAGTCCATTGAGAGAGTACCTTCATGGCGATAAAGTAATATCGGTACGACCATTATGGTAGATAATAAATAATTCCAATTACGAATAGTTTACTGGAAGAATTCGATAAGAATACACCCAAATGACCTAACCTCCACGATCCATTGGAAAAGTACCTTCGTGTTAGCTTAATCAAGGCGATAAAATAATTATCTAATGTTCTCTGGAACAAATAGCGAATTAACTGAGGGATAAAGAATAGAGACTCGCCGATCATGCTAATAAATAAATAAATAAATAAATCTTGAACTTATTCTCATAGAAACTCGCTGATGGTGTCTAGACGACGTTCAGTGATTAATTACTCGGTCGTTAATTACGACCCTCGATAGGTCGAGATGGTGAAGAGAGGCGTCTGCGATCATGCCACGCCATCATCGCTTCCGATAACGATAACTCGCTTTTGTTTGCGATTTTTCGTTCGCCTTTCCATCGGAAAATTTCGATACTCGTTCTATTACCAGGGTAATCCATTCTTCATCATTGGATCACTCAATGGCTCCTTCCACGTCCTTAAATTCGTCATCCATTACCGTCACAAGGATCAGCGTTTCGTCACGATTCAGGAAGTGACAAAGCAATTTTTCGCGAAGTATCATTGGATCACTCAATGGCTCCTTCCACGTGCTTAAATTCGTCATCCATTACCGTCACAAGGATCAGCGTTTCGTCACGATTCAGGAAGTGACAAGATGTATTCGCGATTTATCGATAAGCGATAAAATTGCGAAGGTAAACTATCTGCTGATAACATTTTTCCCTGAATAAAGTAGGCTAATATAGACGGTCAATATTTTCACGACTTTTCGCCGTCGTTCTGATTGCTCGGAACGTTTGCACAGACACGGAGACAGTTGCACAGATTAACGTGACGATTGTCGAGTACCTGACGTCACGGTCCGGCTTTCTCGAGTACCTGGGACAGCCTTGATGAGAGGGAAAAATGGCGGGCGATACGCTGGAATCGTTACATCATACGCGACACTCCGATTCTTTTCGGCCGCCATGATTGCGCTTTAATTGCGTCGAAAATTGCCCGATTCTAACGCGAAAACAAGTAGCCGCGATTTCATTTGTTTACCCAGGCCACGCTGATTTTTAATTGCCGCGATTAACTCGCAATTATATTCGAATCTCGCCGGGGGCAGGAGCAGCAGGATGGACAAACAACGAAAAATAGTAATTATCAACGCACGATGACAATACGAATTTAATATTTACACTGGCTGACGATTGTCACTGGTCTCTACGTGTGCTCACACGCGGAAGAATTTATTTAACGTTAAACCTGCCGCGACAAGTGACTGATAGATGAGAAAATCCAAGAAGAGTCTCGAAAAAGATCGAGATAAGAGAAAAATATCGAATAATTAATTACACGCGTATCTGGGGAAAAAATCTCGCGAGCAAGAAAACACAGCGATCTCGTTGAATGCGTAATTTTTAATAAAAAATAAATTGACATAAATTTAGAGTGCGAATATAAGCTCGGTCCTATCCTCAGATTTATCCCGGAAGGACGAGTCCGAGATCCGATTCGTCGATCGATAAGGGACGCAGCGAGAGGGTTGGAGGAAGATGGAGGAAAGAGGAAGAAGCAGGAGGAATTTGCGCGTCGATCCAGTGATCGATAGCCTCGATCGTTATCGTGCTTATCGGCTCGAGATACTCGTTCGCCGTATCCTCTCGAGGGAAAAGGAGAGTAAGAAACGATAGCGCGAGATAGGTCGAATGCTCCCCGATGCAACGTTTCCATTGTAAACGTCAGCCATCGATAACGCTACTTGCGATACCGGATATCGGGCACGGCCGCGATCCACGTTATGCACGAACGATCGAGAACCGATCTTTTCCTCGGCTAGCTACGAATTGTAATTAATCTGCACGAATGAAGACAAATCGATCACGGGGGGCACGATTAAACACCATCATGATCAACGAAACGGGAATGCATGACAGAGAGCTGCGGGATGATGGCAAGTCAAAGAACAAATGCACGTCTATACGTGGAATAAACGTGGAAAAGTAAGGAAAATAGTCGAATTCCAGACGTGGATGATAGGGAAGATGATTTTGTCGAAGATACCAATCCGCTTTGGTCGATCAGTGCAACCTTGTTAACCCATTTGCATCATGGCATTGCATTCAACTGACGACTGGTCTCTATCAGCACTTACTCGTAATGGCAGTTAAAAAGATGTTCACGACAAAAGTAAAACTCGTTAAGAATATAATGAACCGATGTAGCTGAGATGCTCGCAAAAGGAATCAATCCGTGGTATAAGAAGAATATTCAGTAACCGGTAATGGAAGAAGGTCAGCTCGTGGATTATTCCGCGCTTGGATGCAAATGGGTTAATAAATACAATAGAATTTCGCTGTTTGCTCTAGCAGCAGTCGTCCAGTCGGTTGGATCGTGAAATAATTAAATTAATCGAATACGTGACTCAGGTCGAGAAGTTGATACTCTCGTTAATGAAGCGATAGATCAAACGTAGGTACAGCAAGTAGCATGATTACAATGTTTTGCAATCGATGAAGAGGTCGATGACGATGCAACGAGGGTTTATCCCGTGGGTTAAAGAGACGATGAACGGATGATAAAATCCGAAATAATTTCGAAATTTCGGACAGCTTTGACGGATTAGGCGTTGGCCTGAAGTTCCTCGTAGATCTCTTGGTAGGTCTTCCCCTTGGTCTCCGGGACAAGCATGCGAGTGAAGAGCGTGGCGCTGGCCATGATCGCGGCGAAGATCCAGAAGGTCATGTCGATGCCCAACTGTTCGTTCATGGTCGGGAATGTCTTTGTCACGACGAACACCATGAACCAGTTTAACATTACCGCGACACTCGACGCGACTGCCTTCGACTCTGCGGAGAACAGCTCGCCAGTCAACATCCAGGGCACTGGTCCCAAACTGTGGGAAAAGAAAACGATTTTTTTGAGATTTATATTTCCATGAGAGACTTCTAATTATTATTATTTGGTATTATTTACTGTTGTAGTGAAAACTAAATACTAAAATAAGTTCTACGTCCTAGCGATGTGGGGGTAATCCCTTCCCCTGTGTTTTGTCTTTTGACAGCGTGTGCCTTTTGTCTCCCGTTTTCTGGAAAATTCTTTGACCTGCGTGGCCCTAGACAGATTGACCAGTTCTAACTGTTCGCCTATTTAATACCTTAAGTGCCCAGCCCGTTTTGCTTGCAATTCCGTTCAGGCCCAGACGCGGCCGTCAAATGAGCCACCGATGACAGGCGAAATGTTCATGAAACTCGGAGATACTGGACCAATTGTTATAACAGGCATTCCTAAACGTTATGTCCAAAGATGGCGAAGAATTTAACACCGAAAGTGTAATAGGAACCTAAAGTCTGCGGCCGATCCCTGAAGACTGACCGGGCTCGAACGGAAAGTCTAGCGCCGAGTCCCTAGGGACTTTCCGTTCAGGCCTCGGAACGGCACGCAAAATCGTAGGATAATTTTGATAAATATCAATCTTTGGAATTTTATTAATCAGAGACTAAGGGTCGTCTCTCGATTGCTGAGGGTTAATCTCGAATCGGAAGCTCGTGCTAGTTAGCCTAACTTGCATTAATAGGATAGGAGCTTCGAAAATTTCGCTTTAACACGTTAAACGCCACGCTGGTTTTACGTGCCGTTCCGTTCACGTCACAGTTAGCCATAATGCGGGCCCTTCCGAGTCATGAACCGGCGAGGCCTGAACGGAAAGTCCCTAGGGACCGGCGTGGCGTTTAACGTGTTCATAAACATCTATACAATTTTTCCGCCGTTTCCACTGGCTACTATTTCTTTGCACTATGATCCCTTAACATTTATCATTTTAATACTCGATCAAAGATCCTTTATCCTGTTATATTTAAAGAACGATGTTGCAAAGTGTCCGGTATTTTAATTAAAATTGACGTGTAAGAGACGTGAACACGGTTCGCTTACCCAATGGAGAAGGAGACCATGAAAACGATCAAGGAAGTCAACGGTAGCCAGCCCAGCGAGCTGACATCATTTCCGCTGTCTTTTTGCTTGAAGTAGTATCCCAGCGCGATCAAACTGGCTGACATAATGCCAGTGGAAATCATGAGCAGTGGCTTCCTTCCGGCTCGATCCACAATCAACGCAGCGACACCTGACATCACCAACTGCACAAAGGCCAACATTTACAGACGCTTCGTTAATTCGCAGCTGCAACGCGATTCAACGAGGAACAACCGCGGGAAATTGCTCGAGAACAAACATCGTGGCAGGAATTCGAATAGTCTCGTCAGATAAACACCATCCTTTTTAAATCAAAGAAAATTTGGAGGATAGTCCTATCTGCTGAATAGTGCCTCCAAAATTTAGACTTCTTTGTTCGCGAAACCACGATATCGAAGACGATTCGATCACCGGAAGTGCCTATGTTTCAAACAACTCGGCAAAGTTCGAGTGTAATTTAAAGAAGTACTTTTGGGTACAGCAGTATCCTTGCACGATGAAGCACAGACATTCGAGTACGAGATGAACCGGGTTCGGGTGTGGAAGGTGGATAGAAAGCAGACCTGGACCAGAGCGACGACGATGGAGGACACTTCCGGCGGCATGGAGCTTCCGGCTGCCTTGAAGATCATCACCGTGTAGAAGATCACGGCGTTCACGCCGGAAGCCTGTTGGAAGAACATCATCCCAAAGGAAGCGATCATGGCCTTTTTGGTGACCGGGGCTTTTGCCATCTCCGAGATCGTTGGCTTTCTACCGGAATTTTGCTCCGCCGACTTTTGCATCTCGCTGATTTCCTGTCTCGGGTCGTAGTCCTCTCCTCTCAGCCTTATCAGCGCGGCTGTAGCATCCTGCTTACTGCCCTGACCCTAAACTCGTCGAACGATCGTGAATCCACGTGAAAATATAAAATTTCGAGACAGGAATCTATCAGAACTCTAGGCAAAACGGGATCGTAAGACCACCTGTGCTATGATAAACGTTTGGATGCTCACCACCAACCAGACAGGAGATTCGGGCATCCAGTAGAAGGTGACCAAGAAGAGGACGATGATGAGCGCGCAGACGATGGCGAAGATGTTGTAGCTGAGGACGCTGCCTAGGACAAAGGCGAGGAAGATTCCAACGGTGAGGAACAGCTGGAAAAACGCACCCAGTGTTCCCCTGGTCGAGACTTCGGAGATTTCGGAGATGTACGTGGGTCCTATTACGCATCCTGCACCGACGCCGATGCCGACCAGGAACCTGGCGATGTAGAGGAGCCTCACTTCCGTTGCCACGAGGATCAGTCCCCAGGAGGCCAGGAACGGAAAGGATAGCATGAGCAGAGACTTCTTCCGTCCCATTTTATCCGCCATCGAGCCTGATGGAAGGGCGCCCCCGATGGCTCCCAGGGCGAGTAGAGAGCTGACCCAGGAACCCTGTTCCTCGGTGATCGACAGAAACGAATCGGCCGCGTACAGGCGAGGAAGCACAGGCGAGGTCCATGCCAGGGCTGTACCAATCCCGACCACCAGGAAACACGCTGTAAAATACGATACGGGGTTAATACAGCTGAAGAAGAATTTTGGGGTGTTATGAATTTTGGTGCTAAATGGAAGATGGGAATAGATGAAGGAATTAGAATTTTTTGGAATTTATCTTTGCAGAGTCACACAGTCTCTACTACACTGGAGAGTACTTCGGTTAAAAACTTTTGCTGCTTAACACTAGGTTTACGGACACTATCTGTATACCCATTTCTAAGGACACCTGTCAAATTGACAGGTAAAGGAAACCACGTGCCTTCTTTTTTAACGATTAGTTTAATTTAAAAACAATTATATATTATAGTAACAGTCTTAATATAAGTTAACTAAATTTGTTACCATCGTATAATTGGAGCAACCCTTCCGTCTAATTGACAGGTTCCGTAAATCTAGTGTTCAGGACGAACTGACTCGATCTCAACTCTAACTGATCACTGACTGAATGCTAGACTACTGCTCGGATTCTCACCTCAAAACTCCAATTCTGAAAACTCTGTGTCTCTGGAACTCACTCTAAAAACCCTTAAATTAAAACTACCTCTAGCTTTCAAAATGGACCCTTTTAAACTCGAAACTTCGAAGGACATGGTCCCCTCTCTCCCCGAAGGAGGAGAAAACTCTCTCCACGTCGAGGTCTGGGGTAGTGGACACTCCTCCTTCCGGGTTAGGTTCTCTGAATGGTCACCCTCCTGTTACGATGGGGAAAGCCGGGGTTGCGTGAAGCCGCCTCACGTGACCTGACCCCAACCTCCTATGACCCATCTGACAGCCAGATCCTAACGCGTCCTTTAGACCTAACGAAGTGTTCCCTACAGGAATACTTGGACCATCGCACCCTAATGAAGCCTAAAAATATCCCACATTTCTGATAATTGCTGTAATTTATTTGACACTGATTACGAAAGTACCCTAGGTCGCAAATATCTGAAATCTCGAGCTTCGAAAATATTGGAAATTCCAAAATTAATTACGACAAAGATACGAATTAAATTTGAGATTCAGTTCTTCGACCTACGATCAGTTTTATTTTTGATAAAATGAATTATTTTCGTAATTATCTTCGTAATTCGCGGATTATGGCGAACGAGATAAATTTTGTAGGTAGAAATTAATGGAGGAGAAGAAGTTAAACCTGTTACTTTAACTTTTATTATAAAATTCGATTGCGCGAGTTAATACTCGTGAGAATTGATCGATCGCGCAACTTACGTAACTACTCGATTATCGGCCGATAATTGTACGCTTTGCCGGCACTTGTATCTATTACACTTAAATTCAATTATTAAATTGAGTCACAACGAGACGGTGATGCATGTTTCGAGATAAGTTCGCTGTGATAAGTTAGACCGGTTAGCCGAAAAGCCGTGAAGGAAAAGGAGATAATCTACACGTGTGGGCTAAGTAAAATACGACGAACGCATTCACGCAAGCGGTACGATTGCGTGTGACCTTATAACGCTGATTAGCCGATGAGAAAAGACGATAATGTCACGATTTGGAGGCTTTTCAGGAAATCTCTCGGTCACCTCTGTGACGCAAGACTGGGACTCCATTGTAATCGGAATGAAGTATAATAAAGCATACGTATAACGCAAGATATGATTAAAAAAAGAAATCACTAACAGAAAATAAATTAAATCTTCAAAATAACTTGATTTTTATAATCAACATTTTCAAATACTCAATTTTAAAAAATTTCAAATATTCTGATATACATTTTCAGATTTTCAAATATTAACCCTTTCATTACTGCGGCCTTAAAGGCGTCTAAAAATCTTAAGCTTGTGATACTGAAAAATAAGTTGATTTTTATAATCAACATTTTCAAATTCTCAACTTTAAAAAATTTCAAATATTCTGATATACATTTTCAGATTTTCAAATATTAACCCTTTTATTACTGCGGCCTTAGAGGCGTCTAAAAATCTTAAGCTTGTGATACTGAAAAATAAGTTGATTTTTATAATCAACATTTTGAAATTCTCAACTTTAAAAAATTTCAAATATTCGAATATACATTTTCAGATTCTTAAATGTTAATTCTTGGACTACTGCAGTCCTAAAGTCGCCTAAAAATCTTGCACTTATGGTACTGTGTGTACCTAAAAGCGTTCAAAACTTTCTTTCCCTGTTAAATTTTAAGTATGTACAGTAACAATTTAACGCAGAATACAAAGAGATGAATAATGTTGTTTTAACATAGTGGAATATAGTGTTTCATCGTTCTCGGTGCACATCGTAAATGAATTCCTACCATATTGTATGGCTAGTGCGTTTCAAAGACTACCGTAGCAAAAGGGTGAAATTATTCGAATTTCCTGTTTCATAAATTCCAAAATTCCCAAACGTTCAAATTCGGAAATTCTCAAATTTTTAACCATTTCATTACTGAGTTACGAAGAGGGTAGCAAATGCCCTGTCCTGGACTAATTTAACAAATTGAATAAAATTTCTCCCCTATCCTAACCCTCTATGGACCGAATATATATTTTTCTTAACTACAAGAATTGCATGTAACGTAAAATCAACAAATATCAATCAATAAATTCAGCAGTTTTGACAATTTTATTATAACGAATTCATATTGAAAGTTTGAATCAACAACGTTTGTACTATTGTGCCAAGATAATGTGCAATAGATAGACAAGATAATTTTCCACGCCATCTTGTGGAAAATAGATCATAGGGGGCCATAGAGGACCTAACCTATCATGATCGAATAACCGTTAAATGAAAAAGAATTAGAATTTTTAAAAATGGACCCACGGGATGTATTGTAAAAATAATAATAAATATATGGAAAGAAAAGTCGCGATCAAGACGATAACGTTGAATGCAGTATTTAATAAAATATCCATACATTAGCATGTAACTTGAAAGTTACAGGGGCCCATAGAGGGTTAAGAAATGGCAGGAACAGTTGGATTACGTTCATAAAAATTTTCTAAGCTCTAACAGCTTTAAAATCTCTAGACATTTTATCACAATCTGGCAGTCATATTATAGCGTGACGTACATCGTCTACAGGAATGAAAATGTTAATTATTTCGCAATTTTCAAACGACTGATTAGAATTCGATTAAAAGCCTCGTTACCAATTGCCTAACTAGGCGAAGAATCTTTTAAAAGTATTCACCCACACAGTCTCGACTAAGTGAATAAAACGTTCGATAGGAGCCACCCCGTCTCGAGCATCTGTCGCCGGGTGCACCCCGGGTGATAACGAACGAAACGGAGGTGTAAATGGGACGAAAAACCGTGAAAGGAAATGAAAACGAGACCGGCGAGCGTGTGCCGGACGTTTCCGTGGAAATACCGGAAATAGAGGCGAGGTACTGCCACAGCTTCCTGCTCTTCTGACGGACGGGCCCGCCGTTAATCATTCCCGTGCCCTCCATTTCCTTGCAACTAGCGGTCCTTCGAGTGTGCACTTGGAAAACGCGACGCACGAGATCCAGACGATTCACCGAAAAATTAACGATCCGACCAATCTTCCTTATCGAATCGCGACGGAAAACGAGCTTCTTCCTCCGGCTTCCGTGATCATGCGAATCGAGCTTGCCACGATGAATTTCACGTGTTGCGCGAGCACCGTTTTTCCAATCTCGGACCCGCGCAGACTTTCAGGTGAGTCGCATATTTCGAATAAAGCCAAGCCGATCGAGTGAAACCGAATGGACGCAACTACGCCGAGGGCCATCATATATCACACTCGCCATTATCTGTACATCATTATCACTCGTCTCGCTTATTATCGCACATAATCGGAGAAAAAAGAGGCGTTTAGAAATCACGATTAACGGGTATCGCCGGCTACTAGGGATCGAGAAAATCGTTGGCTGTGTGTAATTGCGAGTAATTGAAATTGAGGAAGAGTTTGCGGGTTATTATTCTCGTTTTCTATAGTGTTGGATGTGTTAATAATTTTTTAGGAAATTTTGGGAATTTTCTTTTTACTGGAATTTTCTGCATAACATATTTTCGAGGATGGAAAGAAAGAAAACACCAGGTGCTTTGTTTTTAAGCAGTTAAAATTGAGAATGCATTAATGGGATATTACTCTCGTTTTCTATAGTGTTGGATGAGTTAACAATTTTATAGGAAATTTTGGGAATTTTCTTTTTACTCGAATTGTATGCATAAGATATTTTCGTGGATGGAAAGAAGGAAATTTTTGAACCAGGTGGCTTGTTTTTAAGCAATTAAGATTGAGAATGCATTAATGGGATATTACTCTCGTTTTCTATAGTGTTGGATGAGTTAACAATTTTATAGGAAATTCTGAAAATTTTCTTTCTACTCGAATCATATACATAAGATATTTTCCTAGATGAAAAGAAAGAAAGCACCGGGTGCTTTGTTTTTAAGCAATTAAAATTGAGAAAGCATTCATGGGATATTATTCTCGTTTCCTTAGCGTTAGGTGAGTTAACAATTTTATAGAAAATTTTGGGAATTTTCTTTTTATTCGAATTGTATGCATAAGATATTTTCATAGATGGAAAGAAGGAAATTTTGCAACCAGGTGCATCGATTTTAAGCTATTGCAATTAAGAATGCATTAATGGGATATTATTTCCGTTTTCTATAGTGTTGGATGAGTTAACAATTTTATTGGAAATTTTGGGAATTTTCTTTTTACTCGAATTGTATGCATAAGATATTTTTGTAGATGGAAAGAAGGAAATTTTGCAACCAGGTGCATCGATTTTAAGCTATTGCAATTAAGAATGCATTAATGGGATATTATTTCCGTTTTCTATAGTGTTGGATGAGTTAACAATTTTATAGGAAATTTTGGGAATTTTCTTTTTATTCGAATTGTATGCATAAGATATTTTCGTGGATGGAAAGAAGGAAATTTTTGAACCAGATGGCTTGTTTGTAAGCAATTAAAATTGAGAATGCATTAATGGGATATTATTCTCGTTTTCTATAGTGTTGGATGAGTTAACAATTTTATAGGAAATTTTGGGAATTTTCTTTTTATTCGAATTGTATGCATAAGATATTTTCGTGGATGGAAAGAAGGAAATTTTTGAACCAGGTGGCTTGTTTGTAAGCAATTAAAATTGAGAATGCATTAATGGGATATTATTCTCGTTTTCTATAGTGTTGGATGAGTTAACAATTTTATAGGAAATTCTGAAAATTTTCTTTCTACTCGAATCATATGCATAAGATATTTTCCTAGATGAAAAGAAAGAAAACACCAGGTGTTTTGTTTTTAAGCAGTTAAAATTGCGAAAGCATTAACGGGATATTATTCTCGTTTCCTATAGTATTGGCTGGGTTAAAAATTTTTTTAAAAATTCTGTGGATTCTTTTATATATTCGCGTATTCTTACTCGAACTATAGGTGCAAGAAAAATAATTTTCAACCCGTGAAAATTTTGTAATAGAAAATTCGGATGTAATTCTATTTGTATCTTGAATGATAATTATGCACATCTATTCCGAGCTTTGAAGTTAAATAAATTAAATAAATTATTCCCACACTGTTAAACTGACCAAAAATTTGTTAAAATTACGCAAATAATACGAGAATCCGAATATATCGTAATTCCATGTACGGCTTAAATAATTTTTCTCGTTTCTCATATAATTGGACTGGCTAAAAATTTGTTAAAAAGCTTCGCTTATTTCTTTTTACCTCAATTAAATAGAAAGAAGTCTCGCACCGAGAAAATTTTTTCAACAGAAAACTCGAATATTCCTTAATTCCATGCACAGCTTGAATAATTATACGTATCGATCCTAAGCAATCGAAACTGAGGGAGCTTTAAAGCGTTGTTCTCGTTTCTCGCATTATTTTTAATAAATCGCGAGCTAAAAATTTGTTAAAAAGCTTGGCGAATAGAAAGAAGTCTTCGAACCGTGAAAATGTTTGACACACATGGCTTGCCGGTATGGTTTCATCGGGAATTAATTTTGTACCGTGCTAGATTTGTTTGCCAATAGTATTAATTCGTTTAGAAACTCTGGATATAAACTGTTGCAAACACGTGTCTCAGCAATTACTGTTTCACGCTGTTTCATTATTTTTCTTTTTATTTCATATATTTCCCTATACCTTACATTCTACTTCTATTTTCTCCTGTATGCTAATCAAAATTTATCCCGTTTAACAAATAAATAAATAAATAAGTAAATAAACAGGAGAAGCAATAAACACCTTATACTTATAAGGGTGAAAACCCCCAACGGGGTTAACCCTTTACACTCGACGATTTTTTGACTAAAGAAGGGTACGAGATGAAAAATTTTCTGTTACAAAGCTGATGATAGTTTTTGAGCAGTAAATAAGAAATCGTATAATAATTGACACGTAGAATTACAGGTAACCCTTCTATAACACGGTAGATAGGTTCCTAGAAAACGCTGAGTTGTGTGAAACCGTGTTGTATGAGACCCAGAGCCAGTACATAAAGGCGGGTTACGTTCCAAAAACTTACTAAAGACAAAAAAAAAAGACAAAATTATTATTTTAATTTAATGCAACTTTAATTTAATAAATTTCTTCGTCTTCGTTGCTCATGTAGAAATATAATGTTGTACAAAGATTTTTGCAATTTTCTTATCGTGTTACAGAATGCCGTGTTGTATGAGGGTTCCCGCAATTTATGAATCGTGTTACAGTGAAACCGTGTTGTATGAGGGCTACCTGTATTTAATTTCGATCCCTTGCCCACTGTTACATTATTTTAAATTTTATATATTAATTAATATCGAGCTTCGAAATTTTATCAAATGGCGACTAAAGGGTGCCTCTCGAGTGCAAAAGGTTAACGTGAAATAATATTTAACCCATTTGTATAATTCAATTTATTTATCGTACAGCTATGTAAAGAAATAAATATTTATGTTATAACATCATATAAAATGATTTTATTTTACAATATATGTAATTTTTGGGGTGAAATATAGTTGGTTTATTACTCTTAATTTCAATTAAAAGCTCGAAAGATTCTCTTCAGAGCGAAGATGCAAATGGATTAATATTCCCGAGTCTTAATTTATTTTTCGAATTAACGTTAATCCTCCAGGTGAACTAAAAACGAGGAAAACAGATTGATTAGTCGAGCGATACATTTGTGCTCTTCGATATCTGTCCGTATCGATCTGCCTCGGTTGCATCGAATAACATGTTTACGATTTTCAACCTTCGTGTGTCCTCGATGGGAAAAAATCTCATTCGTGCAACTATCGATATTAGGTATCGCGTTACGAAATCTAGATACGGTTTTAAATAGACACGGTTTCTTCCGTTAATCGTCCGTTTATTTAAGTTTCAGTTGAGTCTAAAGCTCCGCCATCTTGTTCGCCGAAACACCGAATTCGTTCGCCATCTTTAATCCAGCGTGATAATGCTAAATCTATCACGGCCTAGATCACCGTTTTTAAATTTTTCTGTACGCACCTACGCATGGCTGATCACTCTTTTAATTGTAGATGACGAGATAATTCGTCGTGGAACTTCGAAAACGACGCACATAATCGTTGCGCGATATTTTAATACTGGACTTATCAGGGTGCAAGTGATTGTTTTGAAATTTTTGATTAAAAATCTTGCGATAGATGTTATCGTTTTGATCATTCATCTTCGCGATTTTTCTTTTAATATTAAGACGTAGATTATCTGAATTAATTGGGAGACAAATCTGTTCAGATAGCACTGTATAACAAATTTTAATTTGTCCTCCGATTTGTAGTATTCATTAGATGATTCTTATAGGGTTTACTATCCTGATCGAAATTAATTAAGTTACTATCCTATCACTCTCAGTTTCCAAAATATATGAGTTTTTCTAAGAAGGCACGATTTTTGGATAAAATGAACTATTACTAGGACTAACTTTCTTAATTTTTACGTAATACTTTATTTTAGCCAAAAATCGTACGAAATAAATTACATACAAACTAAATATAGGTATTTATATACAACATCTATGTTTTTTTCCTATTACTAGGACTAACTTCCTTAATTTTTATTTCATACAAATTATAATAAATATTATAAGTAATATTTTATTTTAGCCAAAAATCGTATGAAATAAATCACATACAAACTAAATATAGGTATTTATATACAACATCTATGTTTGTTTCCTATTACTAGGACTAACTTCCTTAATTTTTATTTCATACAAATTATAATAAATATTATAAGTAATATTTTATTTTAGCCAAACATCGTACGAAATAAATCACATAAAAATTAAATATAGGTATTCATATACAGAATCTATATTTTTTGCTATGTTTTACCTATTATAATGTAAAATTCGCATAATCGATGTTTTATTATATAATAATTTTTGCAATGTCTCCCGTTATTCCATTTTTTAAGCTTCTGCTGCTTTCTCATTTACCAGTCGTTTGACCGTGGCAGTTTTGGCGTTAATTATTTCAATTAATTCGAACGAACCGATCAATGGATAGCGTTCAAGTGTCCCTCTTCACTGGTTAATCCGAATCAACGTTATCGGTCGATCGAGTTTCGAGTCGTTGACAATCGGACCATCTAAATTCGTCCCACCTCCTGCTGACGCGTTTCCCACGACACCGACAATTAAATTTGGCCGTAATTAAAAAGTCAAATTGCAAATTAGGAAGATTC